GATGATGTACATGGAAAATCAAATAGAATTTATTTATTTATTTTATATATATTTTATTGGTTTTTTACAGAGAGAAAGGGAGAGAGATAGAGAGTCAGAAACATCGATGAGAGAGAAACATCGACCAGCTGCCTCCTGCACATCTCCCACTGGAGATGTGCCCGCAACCAAGGTACATGCCCTTGACCGGAATCGAACCTGGGACCGTTCAGTCCACAGGCCGACACTCTATCCAGTGAGCCAAACCGGTTTCGGCAGAAAATCAAATAGAATTAACCTAAAAACTACAAAGGTAAAAAAGTTCAAAAGTTCAAGAAGGATATCAATAGCTTTTGTAGTCTTAATTCATGGAGTAAATATTTACTGTACACAACAGTGGGTCAGGCTCTTTTCTTTTCCAGGTGCTGAGGATCTAGTGGTCAACAAAACTGGCAAAAATTCCTGTTTTTGTGAAGTAGTTTCTAATCTAGCAACAATCAATAATTATAAAAAGATATAGAAGAAAAGGTTCCATAATATCTTAAAAATATGGAATATTAGGGATATATTCACTAGGAAATATATAACTATATAGTGAGGAAGACTGTTCCCATCAGATATTAAAATTTGTCTTTAATAATTAAAAATATATTTCTACTGTGTGAAAAGATAGACTAATGGAACAGAATTGAAAGTCTTATAATAGCCCCAATTATTTACATTCATTAACATGTGATTAAGGGCAGGTCTCAAATCAGAGGTTAAATACATGGTGTGTGGGAAAAATAAAACTAGATCATATCTTTCATGATATACCAGGAGAACTCCAAATGTAAAAAAGTTAAACTTAAAAGTGATCCCATGGAATGAAACATGGGATAATTCTTTTGCAATTTCAGTGACAATAAAATATTTCTAATTGAGTCAAAATCCACAAAAGCATAAAAGAAAATATTGATGAATTCAGTACATAGACAAAAGAGTGCATGGGAGGAGAAGTCTGTAAACAAACTCAAAAAACAAATGCTCACTGGAGGAAAAAGATTTGCAACTCATATACTGGACAAAGAGGGGAGACCCTCAGCTCGGCCTGTGCCCTCTAACAGTCTGGGACCCCTCGGGGGATGTCCACCTGCTGGCTTAGGCCCACTCCCTGGTGGCAGAGGGCAGGCCAAATCCCTAGGTGCAGCCCCTGGTTGGGCTCAGAGCAGGGCCGATTAGGGGGTTGGGGTGCCGCCCCCTGTCACCCACAGAGCAGGGCCAATCGGGGGATTGGGGAGCTCCCCCCATCACACATAGAGTAGGGCCGATCAGGGGGTTGGGGCACTCCCCCCGTCACACTCAGGGCAGGGCCCATGGGGGGGTTGGGGCGCCGCACCCTGTCACACACAGAGCAGGGCTGATCAGGGAGTTGGGGAGCTCCCCCCTATCAGGCACAGAGCAGGGCTGATCAGGGGGTTAGGGCGCCTTCCCCTGTCATGAACAGAGCAGGGGGATAGGGAGGTTGTGGCCCCGCCCCCTGTCACACACAGAGCCGCAGGGCGATCAGGGGGCTTGGGCTCTGCCCCCGTCACACTGCTCTGCTGATCCCGGTGCTGGGAGGCCTCGCGGCTCTGCTGATCCCGGTACCAGGG